TGGGTAGAGGGACAGATAGATCCAGAGAAGAATCTGAAGAGGCTGGGGGGACAAGTAGACAAAAATTGTTATCAGGGTCAGAATTGTAAATTCTATCCAGAAGAGAATAGCACATGGATAAACACTGAAGATAAAGCCATAGAAAGGCATAGCTAGATTTGCATTGTAGAAATTTCATTTGGTAGAAGTGAGTGAACAGTGGAGGAGAAAGTTTGAGACCTATGACTGGCTACCCAGCTCTGTCCAGTGCCTGTCCAGCCCTAGTCTCTGCTTCACTGACTCAGAGCATTTGATGCCCTGGCTATTTGTATTTTAATGTGTGAAACAGAACTTTGTGGAAACACCCTGTTATTAACTACCTTGGCAGCTGCTTATTTTTTCCTAAGTCCTTGGAAAATGAACAGTAATAATCATTATTACATTAAGAATAATAATGACAGTAATGCTTAAAAAAACACAGGCAATATCATATATGGGAGGATCCAGATATAAGATTGATAGCTTCAATGAGTGAAGGTTCAAATTTTGGGGATGACCTTTCTCAGTGAAAAGTGAATAAGTGACCTGCAGCGCATCCAATGACTTCTCTCGCTAGAGCTGCCTCTGCAGCAGGCCCAGAGTTTCTGAAGGAAAGAGCACATGGGTCCAAAGGCTAGGAATTCTGGCTCTCTTTTAAAAACTCCTCCCTTTAAAAACTCTATGCTCAGTTTCTAAATCAAGTCCTCCAAGACAGGGGAGAAGTCCTGTCCATGTGCTCCTTTGAGCCCTCTGCTATGCCATAACACTCTACAAGCTGTGTGTTTATCTGCCTGTTCATAGCCTCACTGGACCGCAAGATCTACAAAGGAAGAAACATCCCATTCACAGTTACACTAGCAACACGAACCAGTGTTGGTCCATCCCACGCTGAAAAACTGTTTATTAAATTATTAATAATACTCATTTTATTAAATAACATTGAATTAGTGAATAAATTAGGTTCAGAATAAATCAAAAAGTCAAAAACATCAGGAACTAAATATTTAGAAAATAAATATTTGCTTTGCTTTTCTTGAGCAAATTAATATACATTTACACTCTCCCTACCCACCTCCACTCCACCCTGTGTCCACATGGCTTCTGTGAGCACCTGTCCGTTACTTGAGTCTGGGAAAAGAGTAAAGGCACTGATCAAAATTAAGTATTTACTGATTGTAACTACTTCAAGAGATGTTCTGCTTATTATACCCGGGCATTAAAGCCAGTCTTGCAGAACTAGATGAACAACAGTGGTTCATCCTTAGGCTGAGCAAAGAAGATTCACTTGGTGTTATGGACTGAATTTTTTACCCTAAAAAATCAAACATTGAAATTTGGACCCCCAGTACATCTTAGAATGTGACTGTTTGGGGAGATAAGATATTTAAAGAGACAATTAAGGTTAAAGTAGGTCACATGGGTTGTCTTTAATCCAGTCTAACTGGTGACCTTGTAAGAAGAAGAGGAGGTACCAGGGATGCATGCACTCAGAAGGAACAACCAGAGAGCAGCTCTCTACAAACCAAGGAGAAAGCCCTCAGAAGAAACTAAACTTATCAAAACCCCCCTCCTTTTTTTTGGACTCCAGAATTATGAGAAAATAGATTCCTATTGTTCAAGCCACCAAGTCTCTGGTATTTTGTTATGCTAGTCCTAAGAAACTAACATTCTTACCAATTTTTTACCCTCCTAGAACATAAACTGGTATTTCTATGTTCTATTTCTTGTGGGGAAATTCCTTTATCGTTCTTTATGTATGCAGAGATAGGAATATATCCTGATACAACACATTGAAAAGAACACAATATAGAACCAAGTGAGGTGGCACACACCTGTAATTCCTGTGACTAGGAAGGCTGAGGCAGGAGGATCACAAGTTTGAGGCCAAGCTCAGCAATTTACTGGGGTACTAAGGTACTTAGTGAGACCCTGTCTGAAAATAAAATCAAAAGGACTGGGGATGTGGTTCAGGGTAGAGCACCCCTGGGTTCATTCCCAGTACAAAAAAAAAAAAAATCATCCTGTGGTATCACTACCTCAAACAAATCAAATCATAAAGAAACATGAGACAAATTCAGTTTGAAAACATGTTCCAGGATAAAGGAGACTAAAGAGACAAGACAAATTAATTCCATATGTGGTCCTGAATTGAATCCTGGGACAGTTCATCCCCTATCTTTATCTGTCTATCTATCTATATCTATCTACTTACCTACCTACCTACCAACCAAACCATTCATTCATCCAGCTTTTCATCCATCTATATAAAGGGAATCGATGAGATAGTTGTCACAATTTGAATAAGCACTATAAATTAATTACTATTATATCACCATTAATTTACTAATTTTGATAATCATATTCGGGTTTCTTAAGCGAATTTTCTTGTTCTTAGGAAATGCTGGGAAATCTGGGTGAAAATATTCTGGAATTTTTATACTCTTCTTAAACTTTTATAATTTTAAAGTCATTTCAAAATATTATTAAAATTATGGATATAAATTATGAAAACAATCAAACTGAGAGGTATGTACATTGAACAATCTAGTTAATATAGTACTAAATCAGGTTAAACTTTAAGCTCGTGAAAAATAGTTAAAAGACCATGAAGCATTTAATTCTGTCAGAGTGAGTTCGGGTACAGGAGCAAAGTGCAGGGTGCATATTGGATTTTGAGTAATTTCCAGTAATGCAGTGCAAGGATGAAGGCTCACACACATTTAATGTTGCAATCAGGTAAAAAGTCTCAGGAGCACTTCAGCCTGCACAGTCCTCAGAGAATATCAAGAATGTCTAAAGCTGTGGGAAACTGAGTGAAAAATAGCTCCAGCCTAACATGACTTCCCAAATGGCTCCTGCTCAACTGTTCTCTTGGCAGTTTCACACTTTGTGCGGTAGAACAATGTTCTAATCAATGTTTTCTTTTATCTAACAATGTTTGCAAAAACCAAGGCTATCCAAAATGCTTAGAGACTTGCCTATTAAAACAAAACAAAACAAAACAAAAAAACCTTCTACTTCTATTCATTTAATGTTGGCAGGACTGCAAAATGCAAAATGTCTTCGGTAGGCCCTGCATATTTTACCTTTGTGGGACCCTTCCACCATAATACTTCAAAATGTATTTTTTTCTGTTTTAGGCAAAATTTAAGCATCTTTTGCCAGGTGCTGTGGTGCACACCTGTAATCCCAGTAACTCAGGAGACTGAGGCAGGAAGATTACAAGTTTGAGGACAGCCTCAGCAACACAGTGAGGCCTCAAGCAACTTAGGGAGGCCCTGCCTCAAATTAAAAAATAAAATGGACAGGAGATGTGGCTCAGTGGTAAAGTGCCCCTGGGTTCAATCCCCAGTCTCCCCACCAAAAAATATGTTCATGGGCCTCTAAAATTATTGTGGGCCCCAGGTCCTATAGGCATTATGGCTAATGCCTAAGTCGGTCCTGATTTGTGTTAAATTTTAAATTATTTATTCCCATGTCTATACCATTAAATAAAATGTTTGAATTTATGTAGGCATGATTAATACAATTCAGAGCTTGTTTGATAACACATATATTTTATATGTCCAAGTGTTAGCCAAATTGAAAGACCTATAAATCATGACATATCTTATAACCATTTATGAATAATATCTTTCATTAGGAGTGTGCAGTTGGTGATTACTGCTTATTAACAGTGAACCAGAAAGCCTGCATCTTTTTACTCAGTGTTCTATTGATAAAGACTCAGGCAATAATAATTCCCTGTTTTGAAGACCCCTGATGGCCCCTAGACCATCCAGAGAATTTTACTTATCACAAGTAGTGTGGTTTTAGCATAAGGCTTCTCTATTTGTATTTTTCTTTTGTCAACACTGAAGTTTTTTTGTTTGTTTGCTTGTTTGTATGTTTGTTTGGTTTGGGAGCATTTCTATGTCATACTCAATGTTCTATTTAGTCTTTCTAAAGGTAATTTCTCTGTTGATGAAATTAAAGTTTCCCTCCTCTAAATAGCATTGTATTTTCACAGTATAACAACTGCAAAATCAAAAAGAAAAAAAGTGTCATATGGAAATTCAATATTAACTTTAAAAACTATAAATATTATTCTTTATATAGGAAGTTATTCAAAACAGTAAGAAAGACAATTAATATCAAAGGCTGGCCTAATGTTAGGTCTGCTATCTCTAGTCACTTGTTTCTTAAAATTAAGACATTTCCCAGGATCCTCAAAATCACCGTGTTTGAGTCTAAAAAATATCTAGTAGAATTGTGTCCTTTGGTAAAATTCATCTCTCATCCATTTCTGTTTTTACTACTGCTACTGTGCCAAGTGTGAGTACAAGCTTGTGTATCCAACACATTCTTCACACTTTTCCATGCCAAATTTATCAAAGAACTAAGAATGATTCAGAGTGGATCAGACTATAAACATCAAGATATCATGTAAATGCTTTCCTATTGCTCCTGCAAATATAGAGCAGGTACTGAGTATACAGGGGTAAAACAACATCAAGATAAAATGTCTGTCTGTGAAATTTAACATGGTACTATCTATCATCCATCTCCTTTTAGCTATTGTGGCCCCTTTGTTTCTGAATTTCGGAACAAACCTTCCATTTATTTGATATAAGCAGATCTTGAAATGCACTTCGGGAAACTGACTAATCTGACATTCTTCAGAGTTAAAGAAATTAGAGAAGCAGGAGAAAGTTTTTGAAGTGATAACTAAATTCAAATTGAGAATTACTTCCAGTGAAGCAGATCTAGGTGTATCTTGGCTCACCCTGGCAATCTGACTATAGGTACCTTGGGAATCCACTTCACTATGATACTGGAATCCACTGGCCTTTGTAAGTGAGGTACCTGGGGCTCTGAGAAAATTGGGAAGAGATCCTCTTGAGATCTCTTCAGTTTACCACAGCATTAAAGGACCATGATTTAATGGCCAATGGAAATCTTAAACCAGATAAACAATCTCAATAGTCTCTTTCTCTTTTTAGTGTGAATTTTATTCATGAAGAGAATTCTGCCTGGACCTGCAGGTGGAAGATTGCCAGATAGTTCTGAGGAGGTGAGTTCATTTCCTCAATTAAAATTCTTTGTCATGGAACTAATAGAGAATATTAAGAAAAGTAAGCTCAATAATTTTACATATGCTATTTTAAACAGAAAAAATAGCAGGAGCAGTTTTTCTTTCTAAATAACTGAAAATGTAGGGAAAAACAGTAAACCTCAAAGAGTAATAATTTCTCAAAAAAAGCATAATAAAAATTTCTCACCAGGCACAGTGGCACACTCTTGTAATCCCAGTGGTTTAGAGGCTGAGGCAGGAGGATCTTGAGTTCAAAGCCAGCCCCAGCAAAAGTGAGGTGCTAAGCAACTCAGTGAAACCCTGTCTCTAAATAAAATACAAAAAAGGGCTAGAGTATGGCTCAGTGGTTGAGTGCTCCTGAGTTCAATCCCTGATACCCCCCTAAAAATTCTTTATTTTTTTATTAATTTACAATTTTTTGTTTTGTTTTTAGAGATGAGAAAAAAGTGAACAATAAAAATTTATAAGGGCAATTATTCCATGGTTCCTTCAAATTCCTTAGTGAATGTGCTAACAAAATTTTAAGTAAACAAAATTCAGAGTTGTAGCCTCTGCTGTGGTCCCCAATCCATTTCACCCCATCTGTACCACTTCAGTGCTTGCTCACAGGTTCTTCTTCAAAGGACTTTCTCCTGCCACCAGAGTTTGTTATACAACCAGGGCCACAGGATGAAAATTCTGGGAAATTAATTTCCTTAGAAGCAGACTTTAACTAATTATCCACTAGAGTGGTGTTAAGTGTTCCAACTTCCTTCCTCAGATGGGACAATACTGAGGCATGTACTGAACATATCCAGGAAGCTCTGATTAATTCCCAGCAGTCCCCTGCCTGATACTTTACTGATTGCCTTCTCTTTCCACTACCATAACCCTTCTCACAAATTCCAAAATTGCTTCCACAATAGACAGCTTATACTGTAATCCATATCTGGTGGTTTTTATGGGACACCAAACCAAGAAAACAGCTTTGACTAATTTGTGGAACTATAAATCAACCTTTAATTTCTCTTATGTTTCTGAACTGGTATAGAAATGTGGCACTTCTGTCACGCAGGAGTATTGAAAGGCCATGTAAAACCGTTTTTGAATTGTTTTTAAAGAGTCATATAAAATATTAGTTTCCAATGCAAATTAATTTAAAAATTATATAATATACTCATACAGAGATACTGCATGCTGATATAGACAAAGTAGAAAGAAAAATTTAAGAAAATATTTTAATAACCTGGTGGAATATTTATATTTAGTTTAGACAATAATGTTATATTAGAGAACTTTCAATGCTGCTGCTCTGTCTTTTCTCTATTGGTACTTTGCTTACTCTGTCTTTTGTTTTTATTCATTTAAGGCTTGAACTGTTAGACCCTTGTGCTAGAGCACCATTCCTAACATAGTTTCATTAGATTTGAAAACCAAAATAGTAAAGACTCTCTCAACAATAATTGCTCAAAATTATTTCAAATGTATTATTATTATCTTATTTAAGTGAATATTTTGTCCAAACTGAATTTTATTTATTCCACTTTAAATAAAATGTCTTGCAAAGAGAGATTTCTTTCCCCCCTACCATTTTGGAAGTTTGGAAATAAACATATTTGTTCTATGTGCTCTCTTTCTCACTCTTTTCTCCCTTCTTTCCTGGTAACTGCAAATTTTAGTAATCACTTCTTATTTTATTTATCACATTTTAAATTATGAAATTTAAAATCTTCTATGAATTTTTAAAACCTTTATATAAAAACACAGAATTCCACCAGAATAATAAATTTTTACATTTATATACTTGAGTCTCTCAGTGGTGAAATGTTTTCTCACTCAAGTCCTTACCATCAAGCATTAAAAAAAAAAGTCAAAGCATTTGTTCCTAGGCTGACTTCATACTATGGATCCACTGATGACTTGTGTTCAGCAGGAGTTAGCTCTCTTCCCTCTCAGTGGTAGGGGAAAAGGGATGCGAATGAGGATGAGTTTATGAGCCAGATATAAGCAAACAAAATTTACACATATGAGGTAAAGAAAAGAAATCCTCTGGCTGTAAGATCCTCAGGGCAAAGTTACTGGCTTTTATTGTGCATCCAGTTTGTGTCACAGTTTGTTTGCTAATTCTTCATAATAAGGCCATGAAGTATATTATTATATTCTCATTATGTACTATTGAGCAAATTGAGGCTCAAAGAGGTTCAGCAACTTGTTATATAATTAGTTATATATCTGAGTAGCAATTGAATAGTAAAGCCATGTAGAAGCTCAAACAAAAAGTAAATTTTGAGTCTCCTCAGTAGGTTCAGTTCTAAACACCATGCTGTCATACTGCTACCTCAGGACACCTGGACGGTATCATACAGATTGCAAGTTGGTATGATGTAGACCTTGTTAGACTATCAAGGATGTTGATGGTGCTAGGGATTCTGATGACTGTGGATCCATAGCACTTGAAGAGTTCATTGTCCTCACTGCTGCCTCCTCCTATTGTTTATTTTAAGACAGCTAAAGGGATTCCATATATGGTTAACCAGGGTTTAAAAATATGGCCATGTGGTAACTTCTACTGACAAATGGGCTTCAAACAGATCACTTCTTCCTGAAATCTAACTCCTCTTCAGTTTGATTATATACTTTCCCTAAAGTTTGGGGGCTGATTCCTGACCTTTGGGAAGGGTCTCATTATATA